TAAGGGCTAATGATAAATATCATAAAGCCTGCCATTTGAACTAAATAAATACCAGCTCGTAATAATCAATCTATTTTCCAACTTAAAGTATGCTTAATATCGCGATAAGTTGATTTTCTTTTGTGCGAGGTCGCTTCTCCAACTGTGGCATGGTTACGCTGTTGGTTGTTAATTCTTTAGGGACGTGATTTGTATAAGTAAAGCGAATTAAACAGCTTTCGACAGAAATTCTCTTAGACGATCATTTTGGTTTCTCATTCCAGCTTTTCCTAATAATAACCACCCGAAAATTTCAAAAGGCGAGTAGTAGATTTCTTAAAAACATTTTTTTCTGAAATTGTTAATCATCAAATAGTCATATTTAACCACTTCTACAAAACAGTACAATCAATAAGAAGAATAACTCGCACAATTTCTATTTTTTTCAACCCTTTAATTTAAACTCCGTTAAACTCAGCTAATAATGATTGTCAATTCCAAATCTCATTTCTTCTTTCCCAAGTTAACATCAGTTTCCTTAAGGAATTATGACCTGATACTACGCAAAATATTTGAATTTATGAATAATTAGGGGCGTAATCACAGCAATAGATAGGTTTAGCAAGTCAAAATCATCTGCCTTTAACTAGATGGCTTTTCCATGTCTCATAGATTAGCTCAATTTTCTACCTAAGGTGTTTAAAATACAGTTCAATTACTGCATTCACTGGGAGATATTTGAACTGCGTATAATATTACAGCTTATCTCCATGATAATCATAAAATATATATTAATTTACCTTCGTATGTGCTTACTGACTCTAATAGCTCTACTCATCGCTTTGATCTCTCTCCTTAAATTACGCAAATTTTTTGACCTCAGGTACGGTGGAACTGAGCAATACAAAAATAGTGCTACTCATAAATATTCAGTAACAGATTTATACCCTTCTACCAATTCACAAAAATGAAATTCCTTTTCATGGAGTTTAAACCAGTTATTTGCTCCACTGTTTAAGACATGGCCGATTAAACTCTGGTTGGCGGTTCGTGTAATTTATAGCCGTCGTAAGTCAACTGAAAAGACAATAGGGACAAAGGGGGAGAAAAAACAATTGTTCAAAATCACCTGACAAATGAAAGTGAAATTTAAGTTTAGAACACACTCACGAATCTTCTTAGTTAGATCTTGGCATTTAAATTTGAAGCAATGGGACGTGAAACACCGAACCAGCTTACTTCTATTTTATCCTATTCAGCTCCCTCCTTAATTTTTGCCTTCGTATGACGTCTTTACCCATCTTTTAGCCCTCTCAAACTGAATTACCATATAAACTTGTTTACAAATAATCACAATTGATCAACAGCACTGCCTAACTTTACCGTTAAGTAAGGGGGGGGGGAGGCCACCAATAAAAACTTAATTTTAATTTCATGAGGTCATCTTAAAATAGGCTCGCTAATATTTATAAGGTCATTAAGAGATTAGCCCAATAGCTCCACCAAAGTGTTTACCAAATGCACGTGCAAAAATAGTTATCAAAGCGGCAGTATGATTAAGAAAGAATGCTTTAGAAATAGCTAATTAGCGAAGCCTTGCTTAAGTCAGCTCTCTTGTTCATTTTAATTCTGCTCAGATTTGTCTTTTATTTGCATCATTTATTCAAATACTTTTTGTACCTCCCACCTACTTGGCAATGATGTTTATCAATTATTAGATCGTCTTATGATTTGACGAGCCAACTCAATCTCTATTTAATTTGCTTCATCCAAGACTTCCAGCATTATAAGCATCTATTCAACTTTTCCTCTACCGAAAGCAACTCTGAACATTCCAGAATTTGAACCCCTCAGTCACTTATTTTCAAACTTTATAATCACCGTGTCAGCCGAATTCTAGTAGGTTTTGCCCTTTCAGTTCCTTAAAAGTTGCACCTGGCATATGTCTCTGTTACTTTGCCTTAAAATATGTAAGGACTCAATCAATATCAACACTTCAGGCTTACAACTATTTACCTCGTGTATTATCGCTGGTGTTCATCAATAGATGGCCACTTTCAATACACGTCTCTTCTCTTTCCCGCTTCTGTACAAATGGACAACAGCATCACTTGACGATTGTGGTGCTTTTTTAAGTTGATGTTGTTTACTACTGATCAACTTCGGTGTTCAAAATAAATAAATCACAGCGTCATTCTGTTTAGACTATACCCACATCTCATTCTCCGTTTTAATTTAATTTTAGTTTATGAATTAAGTATTTACTAGCTGCAATTTTTGAAATTAAGGCACGTGAGTAAATACATTCAGTTTACTGGCAGTATTTTTAGCAACGAAATCAAGATTTCCTGTGTCTAAAATTAAATTACTCTTAAATCTAAATATAGGCCAAAATATTTACCCCCCCCCCCCCCCCCCCGAGTTTAAAAGTACACCCTGACCCCAAGCGTCCTCATTCGGTCACACCTTATCTGTCATATTTCCGAATTTCCTTCGTCATATTTCCCCATGCAGGAGGAGGAAAAGCACACAGTTAATAAGGCCTACAGTATCGGTAGCACTAGGTTCAGTGGAGTTGAACGAAATGACTCCCTCTCAACTCGATCGATTCTCTTTCCCGTTTTGGACAACTCAGTGGGTGAACGTCTCTTCAATTGGTACTGTCAGTATTTTCGCCGACCTGAAGATCAGCTAACTGTTCTTTCAATTGTGGAACCCACATTACAAATGCAAAAGGCTGGTGTAAGTTCAGATGACCCTCTGGTGGAAGCTGCAATGGTAGTAGGAAGAAATATTGTCCGACGGTTTCTTCAACGCGCGCATGAACGGAGCATCCCTTGCCGAGGAGTGGTTCAATTGGATATTAGTCCAGCCTTAAGTATTGTGAGAACTGCGAGGGAACGTGGAACCCAAATAATCCTCATGTGTCCCCGTGGAAACGTCGCGGGTGAATCAGAGAAGGTGGAGTTTGACTCTGTGACCGAGTATGTGTTGAGACACTGTCCTGATATCGCGTTAGCTATTGTCCCACCTACGACGGGCGAAAGGCGGATTCGTCGAAGTAGTTTCTATAAGGAGTATATTGATAACTTTATGTGATGACAACTTCCACTCTTTCCATAACGATTGATAATCATTTTCTTGTATTCCCAGTACGTAGTTGTGCATTTAAGTTATTTTTATTTAGAATCCTAACATACGTGTTTATGTCTTATTTGTCATTTCATCATATTTCTATTTGAAATATTGATAGCAATAGTAATTCCACTAAATTTGAATCCATTTTCGCGTCAACTCCTGAATGAAAATTTGAAGTTATAAAATAATCTTAAATGGCGTTGATAAAGACATTCATTTCACTACTTCTGGTTTAATTATTCCACTTAATTTATCTTCCTAACTCGGCCGATTGCCCTTTATAAAATTCAGAATTTATTGAAACAATACGTTCACGATGTCAATTGTTTCATTATCCAATATTGTTTGACAAAGCTACCCGCAACTAAATTGTTTTTACTGATTTCATTTGAGTAACATTTAATATAGTGCAGCATGAAGTGGCTGTTCAATGGCAGTTTAGGGTATTCACTTCGTGATCCATCGAAAGAATATAATGGTTATAATAATCTAATGCACATATTTGAAATGAATGTGGTGAAGGCTACGTGAAAATTAATTAGAAATGCAAATATACCCTCAACTTATCTTTCCTACTACTCCCAAACAAATTTATCATCCCGAGGATGTGTATTCAAAAGTGTGTCACTATAGAAAGCTTAAATATCTGTAAACTTCTCCGTATGTCATAAGTTCAACATGTTTTTGCCTCCAGCTTCGACAATCCCGTGGTTTAGAGCCTCTAAAACATAATTGGTGGTTGCATTAAAGTCAGCAGGGACATTCTATTAGGTCAAGACATCCAAAACCATGTGTTGGAACATTCGAAATTCTGGTATTTTTATCTGTTTGTTATAGTGAATGTGGTTTTAGACACTACTATGATCAGTTACACTTGTCCCAGTTGCCTGTTTGAACATGACAGTTTATTTTTGTGTAATTTTGATAATGAACATCATCAATGGGATCTGTAATTTAAATCTCAAACGTGATCAGTTACATCGTTCAATCAATAAAGCTTTTTTCTCCAGTAGATTCCTATTTGGCGAGTTAAGAGTGATTACGGTGTTGTTATTTGCTATGGCTTATTCTATCAGCAGAATCAGTTGAGTAACCATTGGCCAAGACACCTAGTGAATACATGGTTCATAACTAGTTGGGCAAAATCAGTATTAAAAGAGGATAAGCATATATTTAGGGCATATATAACAACAATAGAACCACTAGTAATTTTTGTAGTAAATAAATGGGGAAAATACTGAGCACTGGTGTTAATTAGTTTGTAACCTGTCGTGTTTCTTGATGCCTCAATCTGAAGTGAGGCAGAATAAAAATGAAATCAGTAATAAACATAATCGGCTAAAATATTTGAAAAACCACCAGAATAGACCAGTGTTCGGGAAAATTTGATAGCACTGCCGAACAATTGTTTTGCTTCCAATATATATATATATATGCGAGGAACATGTGTTTAATTCGATAAATCCTTGCAGTTAAAGAGCATTGTACTGCTATGCCCCGATTTCGATTTTTGAACCTTCTTCATATTCTTGGAATGATTACTTCAACAAAATAGACGGAACGGTCAATAATTTACAACGAGTTTTGAAATCCCTAACTACTCAGGTTGGTATAAACACATTTTAGAAATCGTTTTCCAACACATTTGGTTTAATTTCCGCAAGGTGATTTGCAAGCCCTTAGCTGTTGTTTTGTGTGTATTTTGTACGTTGTTATGCTTGCACCACCCCCTACTTTGTACGCTGGCAAGTGCAATTACCTCAACATTTTCTGGCATTGTATTCCGCTTTGGATGTTCAGTCAGTGAGATAGACATCTATGCGATTTTTGATTTTGTTTTATTCCTACATAAAACAGACTATTTCACTAGAATATTAAAGATTTATTCAAAAAACTGCGTCTGAAGCCGCATGGACAAAAATTCTAGTATGGACGCTTTAAATACTGGTTGAAAAACTCCCAGCTTGTTCGCTAAACTTTCGGTTTGCAACTACGACAGGAGATAACACTGAAATTATCGTAACCTAACTAATTAAATTTTCATAAAAGTGCACCAGATTTGGGGAAATAACTATTAATACATCTCTTCTATTTACCAAAAAAAGTAATTTTCTATGCCCTTCACGGGCAACAGAGGTAGCTCTTCGAAGAGAGATAAAGTACGGTTTTCAGCCCCATCATTACGAAATTTTAAAGTTGACCTCAATAAAATATGAACCGATGACCCAGCTATCCATCAATCATTGGCTGTCCTATTTAGTTAAATACGACGATACCAACTTCCCGTCACAAAAATGTCGACCACGGACGTTGAGGAAGGTACTTTCAAAAGGCGAATCCTTTTTGCTATAGATGAAAACGAAACCTGCAAACAAGCTTTCAAGATGTATATAGATCGCATTATGCTACCCGGAGATCAAATTACCTTTGTTCATGTAATGGAACCCGATACAAATTTTCGTGGAGCTTCCAGCAGTTCAACAGAACCAGGCAAGACTTCAAAGAAGACTTTTGAGGAAGTGCTGAACAGATCCAAATCCCTTGGAATTTCCTATATCACAATGGCAAAGGCATTTAAATTAGAAACATCTGCTTTTCTCCACGTGCATACGAGGCCAGGTCGAGCGCTGTTAACATCCGCGAGACATCACGACTCAAATATGATTGTTATAGGGTCTGGTGGTGTTAGATCTTCTAAGCGTGACTCCCTTGGGTCTGTTTCAGATTATGTAGTCCATAATTCTCCCATTCCTGTTGTCGTTTTATACACTGAAGGCCATTCATAAAGCATATATGTACTTTGGATTTAATTATTTCCAATCGCGATCGTACGTATTAGCATGTATGTTCATACGCGATTTTCATGTGCAAACTAAATTCCCCAAGTTAACTAAATGTGCTTGAAATTTATCGACTTATTTTGCGGAAATATTCAAAATAAATTGAATTGGTTGATGCTAACTTAATGGGAATGAACCGTTTGCGTTTTTTGTAATTAATAATACCATTCGAAATTCGATATGATTACTACTGTTTCAACTTACAGTTGACCAACTCATACCACCGTTAAATATAAACAATCATAAACAACAGGGAGGGAGTTAAAAATATAAGTCGGTGGTTGCAAAAACATTTCACTAATAGTTTCACCTATATTTTTTTAACGGTGAGTACAATGCATTAGGAAATTCTGACACTAGTATGCGATAATGTTCTACCATACAAGTATTTATTATAGGAAAATTGAATATTTGAGTTCGTACTTATGTTGAAAACAAGCTTTTATGGATGATGCTACCGCTGGTATATCAGGTTGCGACAGTTCTAGCAGAAATAACCCGGAACAACCAGTTACATCAATAAATATGTGCAGCTCGAAGCACAATTACCCTTCCCTTACCTGATTTTACACCTGTTTGTGTAAGAGTTTAACATAGGATTTGAATAGTTGCCGGTTTCGTCACCAATACCCCACTCTGGTGACATGATTCCTCAATGCCTTTAAAAGCGAAGTTCGATCGCTTAACTTTATTAATTCTCTACAGCTATCGGAATTGTTCAATGTTGATTTCTATTATCTACCGAAACAGAACTCGTACTACTGGCCTAAATGCGTAATAAGCAATAATCTTCTCCATCTACCATCGCATTTCCTCTTATGAAACCTTTCAGACACATTTATATCCCATTGTGTTCAAGTAATCTCTCCAGGACGCGGATATTAAATGGGGAAATAAGTTGTCAACAGCATCTGCATTTGGATTATTGCCGAATCTAATAAAAGACTCAGTTCAATACTGAAATTCATCGATCAGATATGTCGTAGTGGTAAACGTCACCTATCCGTTAAAAGGACAAATCTAAACAAATTACTAACATCTTGAAGTATAAGGTATTATCGATGTATTGTCGCGAACTCAGCTGAATTGTCAGCTAGCAAAGACCCCTCTTCGGATTCTCTTTAACAATCCCTTGGCTTTTCTTACCTTTCACAATGATGATCGTATCAGGTGCTTATCCCGACATAACGTTCACATCATTGTCCAAAAGGAAGAAAATGTGCATTCTTTTATCGCTATCTATAGTATAAGGCGAACGGTTAGTTGGAGCATTTGTGTTGAAATGCAGAAATCAAATATACAAATTATAACTACGTTTCCGCATTTCAAGTCTTCAAAAATTAATCTTACAAGATCTAATTATTAGCCTTCTATAATGCAGTTATTAGACGTTACTTTAAGCTTTCTAATGCGCATTTACTAAGATAAGCTGACTCCAAATGCTAGCAATGAAGCCTTTCACCAAAAGACAAGTTAGTTTCGTAAATTTCCAGATCGAGAATGACATGACCTGAAAGTTTGCCAAACTTAACTTTTTGAAATGGTTTGGCAGATGTCATTTTTTAACTTATTTGATAAATATACCAATGGTATATGCTGCTAGAGAGCCCACTTTGCGCACTTAAGTTGGTGACATATTGCCAATGAATTCAATGTGCATTATATCAAACATAAGGCATATTTATAACGAGTTCTGTCAATAAAATTCCCCAGTAAGAATATTACAAAACCATTGCTCTAATAGCAATATCATAAGAAACAGGGGTGTGCGATAGACATACCTTCATGTGGTGCACCCTGGGAAACGCATACTCATACGGCAAAAAGTCTATTACCTGGTAGTTGAATTCAGACTTCAAACTACCAACACCCCACTGTATGTCATATTCAACTACTTTCACAGTACTCACCTCACCTTTTTCTACCTTTGTATCTGTCTCCTTAACATCTGTGAATCACTCTTCTGTTCCCCNTTCCCCCCCCCCCCCCCCGACTTTTTCTCACTTTGATGTTCCTCCTCTCCGTGAAGCCCGAAGTCAGCTAAAGGAATAATGATAACTATCACAATACCTGCCATTTGAAATAAATTAATCATAAGAAACAGTTGTTGGTATATTAGTCTCTCTCCCTCTCTCATTTGTTTCAATATTTGATATTCTCCAGCTTAATGGGTTCAGCATACATTAAATGTTGGAAAAATTGTAAGCTCAAAGTTTAGGCATTAACGCTAACTCTATGATATGAAAATGTCTATATTTCATTATAACAATTAATCCTACAACTGAAAATTTAATCCAGAATGCTTTCTTCCATTTGGTTATAATTTTATCAAACAAATGCATTTAGTCTATTAGGCCGCGCAACCATTGAATTAACATTCCAATTAAGCCAATAACATTTTGGCTTAAGATAGCGAGTAGTACCAAAATAGAGCATATTTCCTCAATTTTTGTCGAAAAGTGGAACCGATGGAGTTCATGGCAAATTGATTTAAAATCTTGTTTATCTGAGTATTTTAGATAAATTTTAGTTTTTGCAACTTTCAATTAATTTTGATGTTATATTGAAATTTCGAAATTAAAATCCCTTGGCAATCTATTAAAAGAAAAGTTGTACTTACATTTTGTTTAAAATAGTATAAATTTTAGTTATTTACATAACTCAATCGAAAATCTTGGGTTACTTAATTATTCTTCTTATATCTGTGCCAAACAGAAGTCCCAAAATCTCATTTTAATTTGGAATCTTGAATAGAAATGGGACCTCAAAATGAAAGCACAAAAAATTAAATTAATGCCTTTAAAGTACAAGTGCTAAATTTTTGTGAAATTGAAATAAATTTAGCTTGGATGTGTTGAATTGCTCTTCATTGGATTCATATTAGATGAAAGTACAGAATATAGGAGCAGAGCTGCGTAATTAAAATTCTGAAGGCCACGAGATACAAATACTAAGGTCAGTCAATCCTATTGGGTAAAAATTGCCCCAGTTTTCTCCGTTTAAACTGACCTTGAGTTTCAAAATTCCTTCGGACAACTGAAGTACACATAATTTTTACGCTAACAGTAGCTTAGGCGGCATGAGCGATCGGACTTTCCTCTTTCCAGTTGATGATAAAAAGAGTACAGAGAAGGCCTTTCTTTGGTTCATTAATACCTTCGCGCAATCCAGAGATGTGATCATTGTCATGCATGTCATCAAACCAATTGGTGATATTGTGGAGGAATTAGGTTACTCAGTATTCTCCACTTATCCAGTCCCATCCAGAGGTCTCGCTATGGACAATCGTATAGCTGCAGCGAGAAAAATCTGCTCTACCTATCTCGAACACGCCCACGTACGAGGTCTAACGGGGGTTCGAGGATCAATATCCACACATATGAGAGTGGAGGAAGCGATTTTGAATTCAGCGATTGCTAACAAAGCAACCACAATCGTAATTTCGACACGTGGTCTCGGACGCTGGCGTTTATTTATGGGTAATAGCGTCAGTGGATATGTTTCCAAGCATTCGGGCATCCCCGTAATAATCATACCACCATGTAATGAACCTAGACGAAAGAGTCAGATATGATGTACCATCCTGTTTAGATTTTGAGACCCATGTATTATTATCCTTGTGATTTTAATACCTCATCGTTTGTGATTTTTGTTTTGTTGTTATTGAAAAGTAATAAACGAAGCTAAATTTTAGTATATTTAAGCTAATCAAGCTTTTTAAGTTTAATAAAGGTTTCAAATTTGTCTATTAGAAATTAGCTTATTGGAAGCGTACGGAAGGCGCTTGATTACTTGCCATCTCTTTCCAGTTCATTTAAACACTCGAACAAAGGGAGATCAAAACGAAGAATCTCGTAGAAATTAAGAAAGGAAGAGTCCAGCTCAAATAATACAAATTTGAAGGAGAACGAAGTCGTTATCAAACAGCCGACAACTTGGTGTTTACATTTAAGAGTTAAATTCAGTTAGTAAAATTATGAACCAATTAGCAGTACTTTACACGAAACGGTGTTTTCAGCTAATGATAAATGCCGTAAAGCCAGCTATTTGTTGTATATAATTTTCGGTAAGATATGGCATCATTATGTAAAGAGAAATATTAATATGCCCATTGACAAAATAAGTTAATTAAGTTATTAATGATTAATCCCCTTCTTATGTTAATTGGGAAGAAGAGGAAAGAGGGTTTAAGGCCCTCGATAACTTTTGGGCTACTAAAGCAACGTTTTGTTTTGTTTTAATGAACTACATTCAAAGGGCTGGTTCACTTATAAACTTGTTTAAAAATGGTCATTCATCATTTTGATGTCTTAATAAGGAGTATGCTTTCACAATCATTATTACTGCTTTGAATAACTAATTTATGATTTCAACCCCAAATTCTTATAACATTTATTGCCATTATAAGCTATAGGTGGAAAGATTGATATTCGTTTATCCACAAGAAAGCATTTGTAAGTTGTCAAGCGGTGATATTATTATTAAGAAATGTTGGAGCAATTAATCTATCGTTTTAAAGCGTTGAAATCAATATTTATTTATTTCGAATGGCAGGCATTTTGATAGTTATCATTAGCCCTTAGCTGACTTCGAACTTCACAGAGGGGAAAAACATCAAAGTTTAAGAGGGTGGACTGAAGAGTGATTTGCAGATGTAAAAGAGACAGACACAATGATAGAGAGCAGGGTAGTTTGAAGTAATCAGACGTCAACTGCCGGTTAATAGACTTTTTTGCAGTATGAGTATACGTTGCCCAGGGTGCACCACGTGGAGGTAAGTCTATCGCACACCCCACGCTTTAATATAATCATTCCAAAGCCAAGGCACTCAAGAGAATGAGGAGGAAAAGCTGCAATGAATGCAATATTCAAAGGCAAATCAAAGAAGTAGAATATGAAAGTCAAGAAAAGGTAACTATAAAGCACCCTCTTCGCTGTAATAGAACTTGAAGGCAAAAGTAGGATAAGTATTCAAAAGTTATGCACTACTATAGAAATTTATAATTAGATGGTTGTCGCGACAACCAGAAACAGGATACAGTAACACAAAACCAAGGGTTCTAAGTTAGAATTCCTGACGGTTTAAGAAATTGCAGGTGAAGGCACACCTCACATAAAGCCTTAAAGTGCGTACCCACGCATCCCACATACGATTAGTGAAATTTACCCTGCTTCGAATTAAGGAGTTACCTCCCGTTCGCCCTATATTCACATTAGATTTGGCTTAACAAAAAATTAAGATTCCTAAATGACATTAGTAATCAAAGTTATATATTTACTTTTTATCGTTTGCAATACTAAAATGTAAATATAGCTTATCGAGTGTTTTATAAGCTCCCATTAGGAAAAAATTATCCGTGCGAATTCAAAAGGCCACTGATGACATCCGATTATACAAAAATTTTTCCTATCAAACAAGTGAAATAAAATGCACAAGAAGAACAAAGAACGAAATAAATGTCGAAATGCAAAATCACAGGGAGAGAGAGAGAGAGAGCATCGGCGTTCAAACAAAGAAGATAATTTCAGGAATCTGTCCGTCTTCAACCGAGGTCCCATTATTCATACAAGCCGCGTAGGCGAACTGGAAAGTGACTTTGCCACCGGCCCTGCATTCATGGCTAATCTCTCGCCTTCCACCCGTTCCATAATAGGAATCCTGGCCCTGATATTCACAAAAAAAACATTAGACAGAGACTACTCCTAATCCCTCGTTGTTTTTGCCAAAGGCGACTAGAGGATTCTTGGCCACAACGCAAATTGAGCTATTGCAACGCCTCCTTTTCTTTGATCAGTGAGCCAATCTGACTAATCAGAGTTCACGAGATCGACATCATAGGTCGGTGCTCACTCAGTGATAGGGGACACCAACCGCCCTTGCAAATTACTTGTCAATAGAATGCCAACTTCTCGGAGTACCATCAGTACCTACACTTCCTCTAACTAACTTGGAAAATTTTCACCACAAAGGACTAAGGAATTCTAAAGAGATGGCCATCTACAAGTTTGTAGGTATTATATACTAGAAAATTGCATAAAACAATTTGAGCACATGTCATATTTAGTGATGGAGCTTATTCCCATAATTATTACTAGACCACATGGAAATTTCCCATTAGATTTAATTTCTAAGGCATAAAAAAGCTGCATAAAGTAGTAGTAGTTGTTGTAAATTCGCATTACCTTGATAGTAGCACTGGCCAGATAGCTGACGTTGGGTTGTAAGGTGATGGGCTCCTTGAATACAACTCGACAGGTATTTGGCGAACCATCTGAGTGGTATGTTACAAAGTTACTGCCTAGCACAACGCCATTCTCCGGTTGAACCAACTAGGGAAAAAGAGAAGTTAGAAGTAATCAATGGATGCGATTGTCAATAGTAACAGAAGAGTGAAAGGACAAATTACCTATATCTACGTATTCTAGAGATTACTCGATGACCAATGTCTAATAAAATTGGGTGCGATAGACTTACCTCCACGTGGTGCACTCTGGGCAACTTATACTCGTACGGCAAAAAGTCTATTAACCGGCAGTTGACTTCTCACTTCAAACTACCATCCCCCCACTGTATGTCATATTCCACAACTTCCACGGTACTCACCTCACCTTTTTCCTACCTTTGTACCTGTCTCTTTTACATCTTTGAAACACTCTTCTGTTCCCCCCCCCTCGGCTTTTTTCACTTTGATGTTCATTCCCCACTGTGAGGCCTGAAGTCAACTAAAGGGCTAATGATAATTATCAAAACGCCTGCCATTTGACATAAATAAATAAATGTCTAATAAAATAAGCGATTTCAATTTAACCCTATTAAATTCTATTCATTATTCAAAGTACAAAATTTAGAGAAAATTCATTCTGATTAACACAATAATCGGAGATACGTCGCAATAT